GTTATAATGAGAATGTAGCTGTTTTTGACACTCCTCCACAAACGGTTCTGTATGAAAGAGAAGAGAAATGAGTTTGAAATTAGAGGACTTGGGCCCAATTTTGACGAATTAATGATGACGAATTTACTTCAAAGAACAGACTAATTAAACACATGATTTACTCCCGTGCACTACAGAAAGGAAGAGACCGAGGGAAACTGCTAATTGGCTGAAAGTCTGTCACTCGAACCTTAGTCCAGTTCTGCCAGACCTTTCTCAGCCTTATCCCATTTCAATTTGGCACATTACGCAAAATTACAATTTGAAATGTTCCCGTTATTTAGGTGACATGAAGGAGAGAACTGTTATTCTCCGATAACTTACTTATAGTTTATTATATGACTTTTGTAGATGAAATCTGATCTCGCATAATTGAAGGTTTGCTAATTTGGAGGTTTTCTGTTTATCATTGTCACCAGACAATTACAATGACGTTTTTTTAAAGTATATGATATATGATATAACGTCAATCAAAGACCAATGAAATTTCACAATGATGTGACGGAGGAAAGACTATTAAAAGGCTTTTCAAAACTGAGCTAGTCTTGTTAGCTATGGTCCCGCAAAACTGTATCGAAACACTCACAATACTGATAGATCTTTCCGCGTTAAATTTGATGTAACGTGCTATCATTATCCGAAAGAAAATTATCCTCCGCATATGTTTCAGTTTTCCCAAGGTGGCTTACAAAATGGAAAAAATACCATTTTCTCAGTTCTTATCTGGTGAACTTCGCAGCTAAAAGTATTGGAGACTGATCTGCTCAAAAATCGAACTAACCAGGGCTCGAAATTAACTTTTTAGTTCGGGAGCCAGCTGGCGACTAACGGAAAAATTTTGGTCGCCAGATCGTAAATTTTAGTCGCCAACTTATTTTATATAATTATAACTTACACAAGAACACGATTTTATACGTTACTTTGCATGCAAGAAAAGTCACAATTGAAGAGCGAAAACAATTAAAAACAACACGAGTAACACTTAGTTATAAAGCTACTGTTGTTCTCAGGTGATATGTCTCTTGTCCGAAGGTGATGGTTGTCTCCATAGTCATTTTAAACGAAGCGAAGCATAAAACGTTTTAAGTCCGTGGTTTTCATTGTCAGACAAACACGGGTCCTT